TCCTTTCGTGTATAAATGTATGTACAAATATCAAATGTCTTCAAATGGTAACTTTCTGGAAAACAAAATCTGTTGGATATGGTGGGGAGATCTCCAGCAATTCATGCAGAAAGAGCACAGCACTGCAACTCCTCTAGTGTTTAAGCCATCTATGGGAGCAGTTAGGACTGCTGTCTGCAATGTGCGGGATGAAGCCCGCGTTTCCTGGGATCTTTTCCTCCTCCCCTTCTAGAACAAGTGGGGTAGGGACAATATCAATATGTCAGAAGAGAGAAAATGAACAACAACAGAAACAGAACTTATTATCCAGCATATATTGAAGCAATTGCAATCCTCAGTGACCACTTTGTGATGCTGTAGAGTTGGGGATCTCACGGAACACTCTGGCTTCAGAAATGCTTATCCCTGCAGCTGGACACACAGCAGTCGGGGTACTGAGGATTACTGGTCATTTCTGATAATGTGCATCACTTACCAAGCTCTCATTTTAGGTTAGGTATAACTCATGAGATCGTTCCAAATGGCAGAAGCGTGTGCTTGGGAGTTGTTTGTCCCAGTGCTTTGGAATAATTTAACTTATTTTGTATATTGCAGAAGATGTATATTGCTTAGTATGACACTTACTTTAAAAAAGAAATGTGTACAGCTTCTGGGGGAAAGAATAGGACACTCTTAAGTAGAGAAGAAGTTTTTATAATTGAGGATGTGGTGTAAAGGCTCCAGGTATAACTGCAATTAAAAGCAAGTCCCACAGCTTGGGTTTTTGACTGTCGTTTTGTAAATGCTGACACTCCGCACCTGAGCCTGTGATCAGGAGAGGGGATGATGATACAGAAGTTAGAGAGGACACGTGCTTAATGAAGGCAGGTGTGTCTGCAAATAGATCTACTATTGCTACGTATAACCCCAAAGGTTACTAAGGAAAACTGAAAGATAGAGTTGCTCTATTCCTTCAGTTGGTTTACTTTGTGCACTTGGCAGCACTTTGTGTATAGTCAGTCTCACTGGTTCCCCAGGTGCAGACCGAGTTGGTTTCTCCTGCTGTTGGAATGCTCTTTCCATTAACAGGAGATGGGGAATGGGTGGAGGGAAGCGGAATGGGAAAACGCGGATGCAAGCCCTTGCAATTTGCAAGATGGGTCTTGGACAGGCCTGAAAACTGCTTCTGATTTGCCCTTTAAAGACTGTACTTCAAATGGAAGGTCTCCGTGTGGAGAATCATCTTGACACCTCCTTTTCTCATCGTGACCTTCAGAGCAACAGGCAAAGCTGTTCACAGTCTCTTTCCTTGAGAACAGTTCCACCAGCACAGCGTGGCGTGGAGAAGATCAGGATCAGTAGAGCACTGTGACAATGTTTGCCTTGGGGATGTTGGTTGGAGTCCACGCAGGTTCCTTTGTCCTTTGTTCCTCTTCTTATGTCCCACATGACTAAACTGATTAGTGATACTTAGATTAGTCTGTCAGAACTTGACTTAAATGATCCTGAGGGGATAAAGTCCTTTTACTAAAACATGCAATAGGCCTCATTACCAGTGCACTGTTTGTTAGTTAAAAGTCCTTAGCAGATCTGCTACTCAAGTTAGTGGTAGAAGAGGAAATCGAACCATACAGCTATATACCTTGTTTAGTTTTCCATTTCATGCTCATTATATGGACTCTAAAGTCTTGTACAGTATCTGATGCCTATGCTGTATTCATTACAATGGTACTCCTCCCCCTAACCTGCACTAACACGATTTGTTTTTCATGCCAGTCAGGTTGCTAGTTGCTAGCCCTGCTTCACAGATCTGCAGCAGCCATCAGATGGCATTCAACTGATTCAAACACCTGACGTCACCGTTGGCAGTGTGATGGTTCTCAAATAGGAGCAGAGTTCTAGGTGGATGCTAGACAAGCGCTGGGTTTATTCACAGTCCCAGATAGCATAGACCAGGTAATTGCTAGCAGAACGGCTGTCCTCCAATTCCTGCCACAATTAGATCGAAACTGCCGGATAGGTTAAGATCTCAGACACGCTTACACGAAATACAGTCTTGTCTTACTCCTGTGTGCTGTTTGTACGTTCACAGAGAAATCTGGAGTTCCTTAACATCACTCTCGTTCACGCTTGGCCTCGTTTTTCTTTTCTTTCTCTAGAAGTCCTGCAAGCCGAGCTCTGTGCAGAGCTTAACCTGTGCATTTCAGAGTCCTGAACCTCGATTGTTAAATCTCTTCCATCGTGACTTGCTCCAATATCAAAGGGAAAGGACCGAGGGGACGCACGCTGTGTGTGCGGGAGGTGGGGAGAGAGACGTTGAAAAAACTGGAATTGTTGTTGTTGCACATAAATTGGGTGGTGCTGTCACTGTCCTTCCCCCCCCTCGCCAGAAATACCACGTGCATGAGAAACACGATGCATTAAAACCTTTATAACGGAAGTCATGGTGGCCTCAGTGCTCAAAGGGTTAACTGCAGTTTAATAACAGCTCATGTTTTTAGATTTGCAGTACACAACTGTTTAAATACTGTATTCCTTGTAAATGAAGTAAAAAAAGAAAAAAAAAAATGTTAAGGCTGGTGCCAATATTTTTGTTAATGAATTGTTCAGCATTGTCTCACTACAGTCTGGTCAGAACTCTTTGTGTATAAGCTGGGCCTGAAGCCATTTTATAGCTTGTAGGCCTAATTGTGTAACTTTTCTTTCATAATGTTTTTGTTATAATATCTACTGTCATTTCTTTCATATAAATATGACATGTAAATTGTCATAATAAAAAAAAAAAAAAAAGAAATAACTGGATGTACAAAGTATAATGTGTATTGAAGCAACGAGTGCTCTTTCATGGTGGTCGCCTCCATCCAGGAGGGATTTCTTTCAACATAAGCACCAAGAAATGGCTGCTGCTTTTTCCCAGCAGTGGCTCAACGGCTGCCATGGGAATGGAGAATTCATGGTTGGCAGTAATTTTGTTAAAATCCAGTTTTCCTCTCCTTGCCCAGCTCTGACTGACAATGAGGAAGACCTGATGGAACGATTCTTGCAGTTGTTCATCATTTTAAATCCTGACTTCAGGGCGATGTTGCAGTCAGTTGACAAAAACCAGGAGCGAGGATGGAATTCAGCATTTGCTTGAGGCCACATCGTGGTTTTTATTTGCCAGTGGTGAATTCTTGAAGGTGAGGGCCCACCCAGCACTTAGCAGTACTTCCTGCCATGGCCATGGAGTCCTCTGCTAGGCTTTGCTAGCAGACATCCCTGAGGTTTCCATGTGGTACTAAGAAGAGGAGCTAGGTTCCTTTATTTAGTAAAGACTAAATGTATGTTGGCAGAGAAGCTGTGTGGCAATGAACACTGACAACATCATGAAACTTAACTGGAAGAAATCAGGGAGAGAAGCATGAACCGGGAGAAGTGTGATTTCTCTCAGCGTTAACCATGGAAGCCTGCTGATCCTTTTTCTTTTCCCAATGCATGTGTGGTCAGAGCCAGGCTGTGGTGCATTCCTGTAGCGATGAGAGCTCCATCCTCTTCCTTGAAATGAAATGCCAAAGTTTTACATTTGTGTTTTCAACGGCCTGAGCGTGATGATGATTATCGTGCACTGAATGCTGAAGTGCTGTGCAAGCAGTGAAGAGAGTCAGGCACGGTGAGCGCTGTGTGCTGTGCTAAGATGGCTCTTTGCCACTCTGGGTGGGTGCTGGCTGATCCCTCCTGGCTCTAAACATGTCTAAATCCCTTTTGGACATCCAGGGTTCACTCATCAGTGTGGGGGTGAATGCTGAGTAGCTTTGGTAAGCTCTTAAAGCCGAGGAAAAGAGCTTTCAAATGGTGCCATTCTGTTCCGTTTGTGAACTTAGAGGAATGTCTGCCTACTCGTGCTAAACTGCCTTAAGATTCAAGACTTGGCACTGTGTCATGAAGTAGATGGGTCTTGTAAACCAGGACAATGTGGCTTTTTCCTCCTAGCCTCAAAAGCAACCTCTCAAGCTGGGCTTAAACCACGCTTTTACCCGTCCTCTTCAGGGAGGGTGGTCCGTGACACACGAAAAACGCATTTGTGTGCAGGAGGAGAAATGAACTCTGTATCACTCCACCACACGGGCTTAATTCAACTCGAGCAACGCAGAAAGATTCATGTAAAACCGTTGGAAGGAGCTGTGACCATTTCCAGCTGGCTACAGAAGAGCTGCAGATCTCCATGGCAGATGTGGACTGTCCAGTCAGGGAACGCGGGATGAGAGAGCAGAAATGCTGATTTCTAATCCCTGAGTGCAGTGAATGGGCGTTTCATACAGCTGCACCTCACCCCGCCAGCTGCTGCCGCCTGGGCTGTGCTCAGGGACAAACTGTACCACTGTTTCTGGGTGAGCACTTCGGTATCGCCTTGGCACGACACACATGAAGATGGTTGAGAAGCTTCAGCTTCCTCATCTCTTCCCATCTCAATTCTTGCATTGTTTAAATGTCACTTCATTACTGAAGTTGCTTTGATTTCTGCCAAGGTCGTTGTTTCTATGAAGAGTAATTATCGGTTTAATTAGAATCCTAAATGGGTAGGAGTGGCAGAGTGCTCACAAAGAACCCCTGGTGTTCTCATTGCCCCTGGCTTCTTCATACATTCTCTTCTTCCAGATTATTCTGCTGGGGCATTTTGCTATCAAAAATTATGAGCACCAAAATCCAGAGAAGGAAAAGCATTCAGTATTTTGACGGAAAAGTCTGTCAGCGATCAAGAGGTGCCTGGAGCATGGCCTCACAAAGATGCTTCAGCCTTCTGCCAGCCCTGAAGCGCTCAGGCCTAGAGAAGCGGTTGCACCAGATGGTCTTTGAAGGTCCCTTCCAAATTAACCCCTCCCCTCCTCTCCCCTTTCCTCCCCTCCTCTTTCCCTCCCCTCTCTCGGCCAACGACAGCACGCGATCGGCCACAAGATGGCGGCGCTGATACACGGTCCTCCTACACCATAGAGTCAAATCCAGAGCGGCCCGACAACGCCGGCACTTCCGCTTCCGGTGACCACTGCTTCCGGCGGCGGAGGGAGGAGGAGGGGGTGGCTGCGCCATGAGTTTTCTCAAGCGGTTCCCGCCGCCGGCTGATGGTGTCCGCCATCGGCAGCCCGACACGGAAGCGGTGCTGGCGGGGCGCAGCCTGGGCGCCGGCACGCTCTACATCGCCGAGAGGTGCGCGGGACCACGGGGGGGTGAGGGCTGTGGGGACCGCAGTAGGCCGCGGGGAGCGCGCTGAGGGGCAGCTGTGTGGGGCGCAGCCCTTCCCTCGTAGCCCCTGGCCTTCCTTCATGGGGCGGCAGAGCTCAGCGCTGCCCCTCCTCGCGCTGTGAGGAGCCGCAGCCGCCTGGCTCAGCCCGCTGTGCTCAGGGCCGAACGAACCGAGGGCCCTCAGCCGCTTCTCTTGTGTTAACTTAATTCTGTGGGTGCTGCACGTGGTCACCAGGCGTTGGTTAACGTGTTCCAAAAGGCGATAACTGAGATGCTGTCTGAGCGCTTCAGTTATCGGTTTTCAACTAAAAGAGGGGAAATTCAGGTTAGGTGTTTGGTAGAAGCTCTTTACTCAGAGCTTGGTGATGCCCTGGAACTGCTGCCCAGAGAGCTGTGGGTGCCCCAGCCCTGGAGGTGCCCAAGGCCAGGCTGGATGGGCCCTGGGCAGCCTGAGCTGGTGAGGGGCAGCTGGGTGGGCTTTAAGGTCCCTTCTAAGCCAAGCCGTTCTATGATTCCATTTATGACTTCTTTAGAAGTTCGGAACCCCAGCTTGTTCATTAAGGCAATACACCTTTCCTTACTCTTTGAAAAGTGCTCTAAATGTGGTGCAGTTGACACGGTGGAAGGAAGAGATGCCATACAGAGGGACCTTGACAGGCTGGAAAGGTGGGCCTGGGTGAACCTGATGAGGTTCAACACAGCAAAGTGCAGCTTTTCACTTGGGCCGGAGGAACCCCAGGCATCCATACAAACTGGAAGGAGCGGTCCTTGAGAGCAGCCCTGCAGAGAAGGACCTGGGGGTTTTGGTAGAGGAAAAGCTTAACATGAGCCAGCAGTGAGCCCTTGTGGCTTGGAAGGCAAATGGTATCCTGGGCTCCATCAGAAGACAGGTGGCCAGCAGAGAGAGGGAGGTGGTTGACCCTCACTACTCTGTTCTTGTGAGGCCCCATCTGGAATACTGCGTCCAGGTCTGGGGCCTCCAGTACAAGAGAGACAGGGAGCTGTTGGAGAGGGTCCAGAGGAGAGCCACAAAGAGGATCAGGGGACTGGAGCACCGCTACGAAGACAGGCTGAGGGAGCTGGGCTCATTCAGCCTGCAGAAAAGAAGGCTACGGGGTGACCTCATAGCAGCCTTTCAGTACCTAAAGGGAGCCTACAAACAGGAGGGGAACCAACTCTTTGGAAGGGTTGATAACTGCAGGACAAGGGAAAATGGATCCAAGTTGAGGGAGGGAAGATTTAGGCTGGATGTCAGGGCAAAATTCTTTACAGAGAGAGTGGTGAGGTGCTGGAACAGCTGCCCAGAGAGGCTGTGGATGCCCCGTCCCTGGAGGTGTTCAAGGCCAGGTTGGATGGGGCCCTGGGCAGCCTGGGCTGCTATGAAATGTGGAGGTTGATGGCCCTGCACGTGGCAGTGGGGTTGGAGCTTCGTGATCCTTGAGATCCCTTCCAACCCTGGCCATTCTGTGATTCTGTAAATTGAATGCATTTCTGCAGCACAGAGAAATGAGTTGTCACACTGCTTTCAGACTGAGACGTTCCTGAAGTGGTTAGTGTTATTTGAGGACTTTCAAGCCACTGGAAGTTGTTAGTGCTGTTTTATCCCTGCTGACGGGGAATCTGTCTGGAATTTCAATTTTAATGGCTGTTTATGAGGGTGCATGGTGATAGGACAAGAGGGAATGGTTTTAAACTGCGACAGGGGAGGTTTAGGTTGGATATCAGGGGGAAGTTTTTCACAGAGAGGTTGGTGAGGCACTGGAACAGGTTGCCCAAGGAGGTTGTGGATGCCCCATCCCTGCAGGCATTCAAGGCCAGGCTGGATGTGGCTCTGGGCAGCCTGGGCTGGTGGTGCACATAGCAGGGGGTTGAAACTGGATGATCATTGTGGTCCTTTTCAACCCAGGCCATTCTATGATTCTGTGACTGTTTTGTTGAGCTGCTTGGTTGCAGACACGATGGCTTCTGTTTGCACAGCATCTGCTCTTGCTGGGTATGGTGCTGTGTTTCCTTCTAACTTGATTTCAGTAGATGTCACAAAGATCAGCATCTTTCAAGCAGCTGCCAAACACAGTTAGTGTGGGGTATCTGTGAATGGTGAAATCACAGAGCTGCATCCAGGGAGGGTCAGGGGGCTGTGAGGAAAAGGCTGTGCCCCAGAGGGCAGTGGATGTGGAGCAGGCTGCCCAGGGCAATGAGTGCCCTGAGTGATGGAGGGAAGCACTGGGACACCGCTCTCAGATGGAGGTTTTCTCGAGGAACGGTCTGGGACCTTTTCACTGGTTTTGTCCTTGATTTCTGCTGCTCAGTGTTTCTGTTCGCTCTCACGGAATCACAGAATATGGGGCGTTGGAAGGAGTTGGAAGGGTCCCATGAGAATGACTGAGCCCAAGCCCTGGCTCCACACAGCACTGCCCAAAATCCAAACCTGCTGTCTGAGAGCGGTGCCAAAATACTGAGCATTTGAGGGCTGAGATTTGAGAATGTTTGATAATTAGAGCAGCAAACGATGCTCTGGGATCTCTGTAGTCGTCTTTGGTATGGTGGATATCTACAGAGAGTGGGAAACGAAGAAGTAAGGAGAGAAATTCAGTCTTCCATCCAAATGGGGTGAAGCTGAGATGTGCTTGAGGTGCTCAGGTTCACGTTCTGTAAGGAAAGATGGCCTTTCCCTTCAGCTTTGAGATAGGCTGTGGCAAGGTTGTGCTGAGGCAGTTCAAGGATTGCTCATTAGCTCAGTAATTCCCCAGAATGTCTCACTTTTTGGGTTTGGTTTGGTTTCCTACAGGTGTGAGTCGGGTCCTTTTATTCTTCTCTTGATTTCTAACTTCTGTTGGTGGTTTTTTTTTTCCTATTTTTTTTCTTTCCTCTTTTTTAGCCGTCTGTCATGGCTGGAAAACTCAGGAGTTGGCTTCTCCTTGGATTATCCCACCATAAGCTTACATGCTGTCTCCAGGGACCTGAATGCGTACCCCTGGGAGCACCTGTACGTCATGGTGAATGCCAGGTTTGAAGGTAAGCCCCACCAGTGCAATCCCTTCCTCAAAAAGGGAACAAATTCCAGTTTTTAAAGCTTAAGCTCTTAATTCAAGTGATATCTTTTCCTTTTTTTTTTTTTTTTTGTAAGAAGTGGGAGATCATTATTGTGGCATTGAAGTTTTACCCTTGTTTATGCCAGTGTTCTTTGGTATCCCAGCACGTGAATGGGTACAGCCAGGGCCACTGAAGCAGGTTCTCTCCTTTCTTAAAGCCATTTCAAACCACTCTGTTCTGCTGCAGCCTCCCTGTGATTCCTGTGCTTACGTATCATTTTTGCTTCATTACATTTATGCTAATGTTTCCACCCTCTGCTCCGGCTTCCTGAGTTCCTGCTGTTTGCCATTAGCCTGGAAGCCTGACTTCTACTTTCTCCTACATCTTGCTTTTATTTTTTCATTAAAAAAGAAAGACAGTAATTCATGTAATTAAGCTTAATAGATATTCATAGCATTCCCAGTTCTGCCAGACCCTTTAATGTTTTTAAGTCTGATTAACTCTGCTGTATCGTTTGAAGAGCAATGAGTGCCAAGTCTTGAGCTGGCCTGAAGAAAGATGTTATTTCCAGCTTCTAATGGTTACAGTGGTGCTTGGAAACATGTCATCTTTCCTGTGATAGCTCCTAAAACCTCAGTAAAACCTCAATAGATTGACGTGAAAGAATTCTGGCCACGGTAGGTGCCCAGCTAGGGTGAGCCTGAGTGTTCAGCTCTCATGTCTGCCCCTGGCCTGTGGATTTTAACTGCTGAGTAGTGTTACATGGAAATGTCTCTGCTTTGTAGGCTGCAGGAGTCTTGATTTCAGTCAGGCAGGATACGTCCTGTTCGTCCTCGGATGTTTTTGTAATGCTCTGTGTGTATATTTGCCTCGTCCTCAGCCTTAGAAGAAGGCAGGCAGGGGTTGACTTGGTTGAAAACAAAGAGCTGGACGTAGCAGCAGCAGCAAGCTGAGCCTGGGGAGCTCAGTTCCAAAGGGATTGGGTGAATTCCTTGGACACTGCATTGTTTGGGGTAGCAGGCTGGCAGCTTCTTGGCTTCTTCATGTTCTTCATGTTGCCAGTTCTCTTTGTAATGAAAGGCACTCTTTGTGGAACAGCCTTACTGTAGTCCTCTCTTTCTGTAGAAAGTAACCACGCAGTTCTGAGGCTGTCGGTTCAACCTCCCCAGCCACAAAGGGATGAGCTGCAAGCTGTGTTCTGTGTGGATTTTGTTTTTACATAAAGTAGAACGTCGTGTTTTTGCTCAGTTATTCAAATATGTGGTGCACAGAAATCAGGAAGCAAGGTTTCACCCGCAGCTGACTTGGGCTGTGAGGAGACTTTCTGCTTCATTGCCTTGCTGGTTTGCTAAGAACACGCGAAATTAAATCACAGATCACAGAATCACAAGGTTGGAAACGACCTGCAAGATCATCTAGTCCAACCACCCTCCCATTCCTATCAGTGCCACAAGCACTAAACCATCTCTCGTAGCTCCACATCCAGGCACCTCTTGAACACTATCAGGGACGGCGACTCCACCACCTCCCTGGGCAGCCATTCCAGTGCCTGACCACCCTTTGAGAGAAGAAGTTTCTCCTAATATCCAACCTAAACCTCCTCTGGTATAACTTCTTGCCGTTTCCTCGGGTCCTACTATTTGCCTGGGAGAAGAGGCCAGACCCTTTTGCACCACAACCTCCCTTCAGGAAGTTGTAGAGTGCAATGAGGTCTCCCCTGAGCCTCCTCTTCTCCAGATTGAACAATCCCAGCTCCTTCAGCCGCTCCTCATAAGACTTGTGCTCCAGACCCCTCACCAGCTTTGTTGCCCTTCTCTGGACACGTTCCAGGACTTCAATATCTTTCCTGTAGTGAGGAGCCCAAAACTGAACACAGTACTCGAGGTGCGGCCTCACCAGTGCTGAGTACAGGGGATGATCACCTCCCTGCTCCTGCTGGCCACACTATTTCTAATGCAGGCCAGGATGCTGTTGGCCCTCTTGGCCACCTGGGCACACTGTCGGCTCATGTTAGCCGAGCATCAACCAACACCCCAAGGTCCCTTTCCTCTTCGTCCACTCATCCCCAAGCCTGTAACGCTGCCTGGGGTTGTTGTGGCCAAAGTGCAGAACCCGACACTTGGCCTTGTTAAACCTCATCCCATTCATCTCAGCCCAGCGATCCAGCTTACCTAGATCCCTCTGCAGGGCCTCCCTGCCCTCAGGCAGATCGACACAACCTCCCAGCTTGGTGTCATCTGCAAACTCAGGGTACACTCAATCCCTTCATCTAAGTCATCAATGAAGATATTAAACAGGATGGGCCCCAGTACCGACCCCTGGGGGACACCACTTGTAACAGGTCTCCAGCTAGACTTCAATCCATTGACCACCACCCGTTGAGCACGGCCCTCCAGCCAGTTCCTTATCCAACGGAGGCTAAAACTGTCCAAGCCACGGGCAGCCAGTTTCCACAGAAGGATACTGTGTGAGACCATGTCAAAGGCTTTGCTGAAGTCCAGGTAGACTACATCAACTGCCTTTCCCTCATCTACCAGTCTGGTCACCCAGTCGTAGAAGGAGATGAGGTTGGTGTGAGTGTGCCTTCTGTCAGTGTCAGTCCTCTGTGAGAGGCCAGACTGGAAATGGGCTGATCTGATGGCAGCAGCGCTAGGGATCCCTGATATCTGAGACTTTTAAGAAGTTAATGATTTTATATGTACCTCAACCACTCTGCAGGTAAGTGATAAGGATTCTAGATTACATGAACACTGTAGGAAACTTGGCTCCTCAAATTGAAAACAGAGTTCTTGTGTGCATTGCACGTTTTTCCAGGCTGCTGTGAGAGGACCTTGTTGTATGTATTGTATCCAGCATGGATGGGAGCGGGTTTGTCGCAGACTGTGCCCAGGTTCCTGATTAGCTTACGATTCTAAAGGCAAAACCTGTCTTTTTTTGAACAAAATAAACATTTTTCTCTTTAATCCTGAAGAGGAGGAGACGAAGGAGGCCCCCATGGCTGAAGGGGAGGAGGAAGACAGCGATGACGATGTCGAACCAATTGCAGAATTCAGATTCGTACCCGGCGACAAATCGGCCCGTAAGTGAAGGGAAGCTGTGCTGCACCCGCTGTGAACGGCACGTCCTGCAGTGTCTGTTAGTCAACAGTGTCTGTTAGTCAACAGTGTCTGTTAGTCAACAGTGTCTGTTAGTCAACAGTGTCTGTTAGTCTGCTTAGCATTGCGTTGGGAGCGTGCTGATGTTTGATGCTGCCACTGGGAGCCAATCATATCTTGTCTTGTAGGCAGCTTTCAGTTGGATCCACGTTTTAGGAATGTGATGCATTAGCTACTGCAGGGGATCCTGAGGAGGGTAACCAGAGGCTGAGTTGTTGCCGTTGCCTCTGCTGAGCCTTTGTTGTCAGTGACAGGAAGCATGCATGGAGCACCAGGCTGCATCTAGGAAGTTTTTTTCCTCTGGCCTGGCTGCTGGCTTGTTGGATGATGAGTGTGAGCTCGGTGGCCATTCTGTTAAAATAAAAGTCTCTCATCACTCATTCCAGAATTTCTTGCTGCTGCCTGTGGGGTATTAATGGAAAAACAAAGAAGGTTTTTCTCTAAATCTCTGTAACTGACTGCCTTGATGTGTTTTTGGTACTGCTGCCTTTAGTATCTTATGTTTTCAGAATCTGGTCACGTCACGTCTGGTCACCAGCTGTTGTGACTTCATAACTTTGGAGTGTGCCAGGCCCTTAATGTCAGATCAGACTTCTGATTTTCAACTCATGCAAGCAGAGCAAATATTAAAATGCAGTGTAAGAAGCTGCTTCTAGCAGCATCTTAGCTGAAGTTGCCACTTCCTAGCTGAGGTGGGAGCCTGATTCTGCAGGTGTGGTTCCTGGAAGTCCAGCTGTGCTGCCAGCTGCTGCAGGTTCCCTGCTCCTCAGTTGAGAGGTGCCAGCCCTACTGAGCACTTGTGCTTCACAGCAGCCAACTGAAAGCACTACAAGGTAACTACTGGTGTCTTTCTTTTGGGCTGCTTGCTGAGATGATTCTGTTTTGTTCATACAGTGGAAGCCATGTTTTCAGCAATGTGTGAATGCCAAGCTCTGCACCCAGACCCAGAAGATGAGGATTCAGACAATGACTACGAAGGCGACGAGTACGATGTTGAGGCCCGCGGTTCGTAAGAGTTGTTTCTTTCCAGATACCTTCGGTACCTGGTACAACTTCTGTGCTGTTAGGAGACTGTTTTGATCTCTTTAAGTTGTTCTTTGTGTATTACTCATCTTGCCCAAGCATTTCTTGTGCAACAGGCACAGTATAAAACATGGAAATCCACAGAAAATCTCTAACCGAGTGTGGCCTATCGCTGGAATTCAGCAAAAAATGTTCTGATTCTCATAAGCTGTTTGCAGTGAACATCCTAGCAGGAGTGTGTGTTGTCCTACTGAGCCAGACTCCTCAGTGCAGGTCTGATAAACGTGCCTTTGTCCTGCAGAGCTGGAACAGGGCGACATCCCCAGCTTTTACACGTACGAGGAAGGACTGTCACATCTAACGGCAGAAGGTCAGGCCACACTGGAGAGGTTAGAGGGCATGTTGGCCCAGTCTGTCAGCAGTCAGTACAACATGGCCGGGGTGAGAACAGAAGACTCCATAAGGGAGTTTGAAGGTAAGATGCTCTTTTCTCTTCCTAAAGAATGCATGAGAGCAGTGGTTCTCCACTCTGGTGTCCGTGAACACCAGGACTGAGCAACTACTGTGCTGTGGGTGATGGCAAACCATACTGGATGTATGGTTTTATTTTTCACAGCCATGGGTTGTAAAGATGGCAGTGGTTCTGCATGCAGTACGTTGCCTGTGATGGGTTGTGGGCAGCGAGGGTTGCTGTGGTAAAGATTGTCAGTGGGTGCCATTTCTTCTGCTTGGAGGAATTCAGTGTCACCTTTGCTTCATATGCACTGCTGTGTCACATGCCACTCTGTCACACTGCCCCTCTGCTGCCATCCATTGCAATGCAGCAAAATATAATGGAACATCTGTGGGAAGGTTCAACCTCTGCTGCCTCACCACACCACCACCGTGCACCTCTGACACTGTGGGCCAACAGAGTACAAGAGGAGGCATTCCTTTTGGAGCAGCTCTCGTAATATACACAACATCATTAATAAAAATCCAAGTGTTTTGTTACTTAGATAATATTTTTCTTAAAACATTAAGAAAAGCAAGAAAAACATAAAACTAGTGACATATTTGACCTTGTTTTTGTGAAACTAATGCATCAGGGTCGTTCGCTGGCAATGGTTGCAGTTCTCAGTGAGCTGTCAAGGTGTTCATCAGGGATTTTTGATGTAATTTTGCTCTTCCTGTACTCCATCCTTGGCAATTGTTCACAAGTGTGCGTGCTGCCAAAAAGCCACGGCACGAATGTGGTGTGGTTTGAAGCAAAGGATCTTGTGCTCTGGTAAGAGAAGTCTTAGGGAAGTCTGGTAAAGAGACATGAGTTGATTTTCTGATCACAACTCGATACATGCCATTTGAAAATTGGCTGGTGATGTATTTCTATCAACTGAAAATGGTGTTGCAAACATTAGCTGATGAATTTTTTGGCAATCTTAAAAGCTATTCTCAAATTCCTTTGTGAAACAAGCTGCTGCACGTTCCTCACTGGTCAGAGCTGACGTATAGAAATGCACACAACTGTTTGCCAACACTGTGCCCTGCTTTCAGTTGATAGTGTTAATGGCACGTGAGAATTAAAATAGAAGTGAACATCAGTCATTTATGTCATTTATCTTTGAGCCATCTGGATAAGTTTGATGAGCCATCCTGATGTTATTTGCTGCTGTACCACTGCTTGGTTTTCTGTGCTTATTCGTATCCCCAGGGCTGCTCAGTTCCAGACCTGCTATCTAACACAGGGCAGTTTTCCTTTTTCTCGACTTGCTGGTTGCTGAAGGCAGTTTCAGAATGAAATCTGGCCTCTTTCTGCTTGAGCCTAACTGATGCTTTTTAAAGGAATCACATTCGTAACACGGAACTTTAATTTAAAAATTATTTTAAGTCTGATGCTGAAGTCCTTTATTAGGATAGAATGACTCGAGGTTGCAGGAGGTGGTGAAATCTTTAAGGAACCTACAGGTACACCTGAAGTAAGGCCATGGACTTGTGAGCACATCAGTGTCTTAGGCCACGTTCTGAAGTTCAGTCGAGGCGTTTCCTGCTCTGATCATCTCTTGTCAGCAGAGGGCACTCGCTCTCTTCTGCGTGGTAACACCTGCTGTCCTGCCTGCATTTTGTGTAGCCTTGGCTGTTCTGTGTTGTTTTCCAGATGGGATGGAGGTGGACATTGCACCAACAGTTGCAGGGCAATTTGAAGATGCAGAAGTTGATCACTGAGGAGGACGTATGCTGCTGTAAGTTCTTCTGTCTTCTGACAGCAAAGCTTTTCAGTCTTGCAGAGCGTTTCATCTCTAATTTCTGTAAAGGAAGTAACTGCAGATCTGCAGGAAATGCCTTGTGGTATCAGAAGGATGGTGACATAGAGAAGGAAAAGGTCGCTGTAGTTGTTGCAGGTATGGGGAGATGCTCAGTGATCTGTCACACAGGTGTCCAAAACTGACTGTATAAGCATCACCCTGTATGGGAATGCGTGTCTGGAAGATGGGTCAGCTCCTCAGTAGGTTAAAATTTGTCTCATCTTGAATGTTTTTGGATGCTGATATATGAATTTTGGAGGCAGTACTAGGAAGTTACTGTCCTCAGTATCCACCATTTCACCCTTGGTGTCTGAGCCTTCCCAGGGCTTTCTAGGGGCCAGAATGATCCATAGCACCACAAGTCCATCTCTTCTTTCACTCTAAGTGGAGCAGGAACTCTTCCTGATTGAACCTATCCAGCCCCCTGGGTGGCACTGTGGTCAAAAGTGCACTATGGAGAATCAGCACCCTACTTAGGTGTTGCTGTGCCCTCTTGCCTACCAGCACTTGTACTGCATCACTCCTCTTGTGGCATTACAGAGTTTGTTTCCTGGCTAGTGCTGGATGGGAGAGGAAAAGCAACTTATCTGGGGAGTGCAGAGCCCAGTGGGGATGTGATCTTACCCCTCCTCCAGCAGTGCTGCATTGTCCCACCTCTGAACTGTCCCACTTGAAATGCCAGAGAAAGAACTTGTGGAGCAGACTGCGAAAAGCTGAGGGGAAGAGGAATGGGGCAGAGGAGGAAAGGGCAGAAATAGGAAGAAAGCTGAAAAAAGTCAGTGGAAACGGGTCAGAAGTAGTTGGAGATTATAGTGGTACTGAGGAAGAGTCTGCAGCTCTGAAAAAGGCTGTTATTTGGTGTAGGAGTTCTTCCAAATGAAGTCTAGGTTCTGGTTGCCCTACGTCTGAGCAGCTGCCTTATTTGATATGAAATAAGGTTATGAAATTAAGAAAACTCTTCAGCTGTGGTTGTTGCGACTCGTAGATTCTGAATGAAAAGCTTGGCTCTGATGGCTGTCTCCAAGATTATTTCTGCCCATGGTTTTTCAAGCTAAAAATAAGAATACCCATCTGTTTTAAATTCAGATCTGAGTGCTTGTTGTGCTGGTTTTAAGTTAAGCAGGTTCAGGGTTCTGGCTGGGAGCAGATCTCTAGGGAGCCTGACAATGCAGGTAGAAGTGGTTTGGATTGGTCTCCTAGCAGAGCACACAGTGCACTGTCAGTAGTTGTGGGCGGTGGGGTTCTCCCTGCTGCTCACCCTGGGAGGTGGCTGGCTGCAGGAGATCAGTACTGCCAGAAGTGGATGGGTAGAGAGTTCTTTGGCTTGCTACTAAGCTGCTGCTGACCTCAGGATGGAGCTGATCCCCATCAGGATGGATCAGGAGATCTGCACGTGCTGTAACAGGTGTTACACCGAGGCAGCAGCTCAGGAGCTGAAGAAGCTTTTAAATGCAACCATCCACCTCCCTGAGTCAATGTAATTTAAGGAAGCTCAAAACTGTGGGCTGTACTGCAGCAAGAACTAACAGAAGGTGTGACGTAGGAACAGCTCTAGGCCTGTGCTCATCATCCTAACAAGCCTGAGCATGAAGGCTGCTCGCTTCCACGTCCTGAAAACAAGGGCAAAGAGTCTGCTGTTACTCTCAGTAATCTGTGGAGCAGCTCGGTCCTTTTAGCTTCCTGAACTGCAGCAACAATTGGCAAGGACGTCCTGCTGGTGATCCTTCAGAGAGCAGTGTCCTTGTGGGTGCTGCTGGTGCACGTCGCTGCTCGTTACCCAAATGAGATGTGGCAGCTGCCTGCAGAAGCTCCTGGAAGACTTGCTGATGCGAGACATGGGCAGAGCTCATGTAACAAGAGGTGTTTTGTCTGTCACATCACGAGGCTGTTCTGAGCAGTGCTGTGTCTGTGTGCTGTGAGGGGGCTTCCCAGGCACAGGCACACAGCAGCTGACCCCAAGTGCTTGCTGTTCTCAGCTGGTCTGAGTTCAGATCCGCTGTCAAAGGTGAAGATGATGCCCAGCCGTTCCAAAAATGAATGCATTTGATGTGAAGTGCTGTCTGTGGCTGTGACCAATGGATAGTTGCTGCTCTATGTAAAGATTACTGATCTCTTCTTTTAATGCCAATTATGTAAACTTTGGTGTCTTGTATCTTTCAGATTCTTCTTGTGGCACTTCCAGAGTAAGCTGTAGAACTGAAGGCGTTGCAGTGACTGTTGGCAGTTAATCTTTAATGGCTCAAGCTCAGACATCAAGGTCTATAAATGCTTTTATATATGTTTAAAAAGGGTTTGACATTTGTGACCACTATGGGGTTATTTAAAAAAAAAAAAAAAGCAAAACAAATGAATTCTCTCCCATCTAACCCTTGACTGGGGCTAACCAGGGGTCATTTGGAAGAAGCCTTTGTAGGAATTCTGGGACTTCAGAAAGAAGAGTGTAAGTAGAACAGAATCTTAAGTTTGTCCTGGAATTCTCCATATTTTTGTACCTTTGAGTAAGTGGAATAGAATGGCAGTGTTACCATGTGAAACTGGAAGGAAATAAGGTCAGCCATGAATTAAAAGCAAAGCTAAAGGTAATGCCCCTCAAGTAATTGCTTTTGTTGGTTCGCTGCTGTCCCTCTGAATTCTCTGGGAGCAAAGTTTGGGTAGTAGAATGGAGATGGAATGAAATCTCTCAAGTCCTTCAAATGAGAACTGTTTTGTCTTTGTATTAAATGTTAACAACGTTGTTAAATAAACTTAAGATTTTTGTATCTCACAGTCAACTCTGCATTGCCATTCTCAGTCCTTTACTTCAGCAAGCTTCTGGCAGCTCTGACATTGGCATCCATTGGCTTGTTAGCACTCTAAAAGAATAATTAAAAAAAATCAGTGAAGCCATTTCCAGTGTTTACCCACATGTGAGAATATCAGGGCCAAACGTCTGTACAGTGCTGAGAGGTTTGTTCTGCTTCTCCCGTTTCACTTCTCTCTGCTTGGTGCTGTTTTCGTGCTGGAGCAATGGCAGCAAATTTATTGTTTTGTTTTGTTTTTTTTCCCCTGGAAGTTTGATACTAAATGTTGTCCGTTTTGATTTGAAGCTGACTGACTTCAAAATTTTTTTTGCAACATAATGAAGTTGGTAAATGAAGAGTTTTCCTTCCCTGTCCTGTGCTCTCGGAGTGTCACAGAGCGGTGCTGTCCGGCCTGGTATGTTGGGTTTGGTTTCAAGCTATGTGAAAACGAGAACCAGTCTGAATATTTGCTGATTACTTCAATTTGAGATAGTTAAAAAGTGAGCTCTGTTGCTGACTAACAAGTATTCAGCATGTCAGGCAACAAGACGTTCTTCGTGAAACTCCGTGGTCAGTTTTGAAATTCAGAGCACAGTGAACACGCAGAAAATCTATAAGCTAATACTTGGAATTATGGATATTCTTACATTTCTACATTGCACAGCCTGCATGTGGACTGGTATAATGTGGGTGTTGGCACATTGCTGTTTATAAACATGCTCAGGACGATGGGGAATGGTTTTAAGTTGAAGGAGGGAAGATTTAGGTTGGATGTCAGGGGGAAGCTCTTCAGTAGGAGAGTGGTGAGGTGCTGGAACAGCTGCCCAGAGAGGCAGTGGAGTCTCCTTCTCTGGAGATATTCAAGACCCACCTGGGCACCTACTTGTGTGACCTGCTGTAGGGAACCTGCTTTGACAGGGGGGTTGGACTCGATGATCTCTGGAGGTCCCTTCCAACCCCTACGATTCTGTGATTCTGTTGTGGATGCCCCATCCATCCCTGGAGGTGTTCAAGGCCAGGTTGGATGGGGCCCTGGCCAGCCTGGTCTAGTATTAAATGTGGAGACTGGGGGTCCTTCCTGTGGCAGAGGGGTTGGAGCTTAATCCTTGAGGTCCCTTCCAGTCCAAGCCATTGTATGATTCTTCTGCAGATATTCCTGCTTTTAATGTGGAGGAACAAACGTTCTGCAGACTTTAATACTTTGTAGTGTGTTCCAGCACTGAAGGAATACCTTGAACTTCTGGCAGTGAGCAGTTCATCACTTCGGACTGCACAGTCCAGATAAGTTGTCTGAGGACAAAGTAAACAGTCACAATCCTGTAGAGCCAGCGTGGAGTGGCAGAGCTTTAAAGTCATCAGCACTGTTGCATGCAACCTGTACTCTGTACTTTGGGTTACAACAGTGGATGGGATCCACAGAAGCAGCAGAAATACCATCTACCACTTTCTACTGTTCTACTCTGACCTGACAGGGAAATGAAAGTTCTGTGCAGCTAACACTTAATATTTTGTTCTTTGCTGAGCCTCCCAGTGATGAGCTAAGTGCACTGGACCAGTGAGGCCAAGCAGCTGTCTGACTGACGTTTAGAGAAGAAAAACTGTTGACTGAGACAGAGACCAACATCAGCTTAGCTCTGGGATTAAATCATAGAACAGAATTACACAGGTTGGAAAAGACCTTAAAGATCATCAAGTCCAACAATCATTGTGGTTGAAGTAAAAAGGTTACATAAGGTACACGCAGGCCCTACCTGGGTTCTACTAATCACACTGCCTTACTGGCACCTTCATATACAGGAGTAGATATGCATTACTTATATATATGACTTAAAATATTCCAGTGCCCAGATTTATACAAAATTTATTTTGTTTTAAACTATAAGCTATGCCAGAATAATAGATGTACAGATGGACTTTGACTGCAGGCCTTCAAAAATGGTGTGGTAGTAGGGACTCTAATCTGATAGAATTTGGCTTCCTCTGAGTCTGTATCAGTGCTTTCTCTTTCCTTCTCACTTAACTTTTATACTCCTTGGAGTTTACTTCTGAGAGCTTTATCCCATGGGCCTTATGGGCTCAAAGGAGACATGCAGATGAATTCATGGTGTAAGGCTCATTTCCTTAAGAAATGAAGCTACAAACTGGGCTGAAGTACAACAGTGAAGGCAAACCCAGTGCGGAGAAACAAAACGTGTAAAGTATGGATCATCTTGAAGTAGGTAAAAGGGATAAACAGTAAAGCAAGAAAGCGATAGGTAGCAGCCTACCAACGTCTGCTTTAGAAGCAGTAAGTGGTTTTCAATTAAAGGTAATGTGCATTGGTTTGGTTCTGTTCTAGCAGCCCTTTGTGGTTGTTGTAAAGAAATGGATGAATGTAAGAATGGCTGAAAGATGGAGTGTCAGCAGGCTCAGCCTGGGGTGGGCTGTTTGCTGTACAGCTTCTTGCCAAGAGAAGTTTCCTTTAGTAAGCAGTGGTAAAGAGCTCTGAAAGACAACTCCACAGTTCAATGCCATTTTGCTGTATTTAGCAGGCATTTCTTCCTTCTATTGCTCTTAAATGAAAGAACAGAGGGTCCATATAGTTGATCATCAATGTCCATATAGTTAATTTTGTAATATAATCTGTATGAACCTTGGGAAATCCAGGAAAAACGTTATTGCAAGAAGTATGAAATGAAACTACTCAAACTCTTGCAAAAAAGATACCTGACAGCAGCAGCTGCTGGAGACTTGGTTCACAATTGCAGTGCAAATACCTCATCTGCTTCCCTTTGTTCACCATATTCAAAGCCTGAAAAAAAAATCCCTAAAACAGAGAGCAGAGGAGCCTGGAACTGGAATCTTTGTACAACTTGTTGACCATCTTGCCTCTCAGAACTACTTGATCTTACATCTGAAATGTGTTTTGATGTGTTGCTTACAAAAACGAAACATCCAGAAGAAGCTTCACACTGGAAGAGAGCTTGAAGGCTGGTACTACTGGTGTTCTTCAGCTACAAAGGATGTGTTTGCCCAGTTCAGCAGTCAGCTTTCCTGGTTTTAGTCCTTTTATTACCTTACTATATTGCAAATACATTTATTTCAAGAACAGCTGGTCAGGGTTGCATAACATCAAGGATGCATCAAATTCCATGTGATTCAGCCCTATGCATTGTATCTGTTTCTGTCTGTGCAAAAGACTATCTGGGATAAAGTACTTTTTTTTATACTTAAAATGAGCTTTTAGCTGTGTGACTACAGAACTTGCTGCATTATTATTGCTCTTCCCAATCAAGGTAAACATTCAATAGACTGCAGTGAGACAGGGTGGGGCAAAACCTTCCTGGAAGGAAGGGGAGGGTTACTTACCTGCACTTCACTATTAAAACACTGCTGGTCCTACAGGTTTGTACTTTTGCTGTGGGTCACCTCTAGAATACAGCTGTGTCAGTTCTTCCAGGGATCAGAAAACAAATCAACCTGTTTTCCTCTCGGAGGTTTGTATGTGGCTTGAAAGGGATTGCTGAGGTCGCTACAGAGGGAAATCTTCAGTTTTGTTTCTGCAGCTGCTGTCTACACGAAGAAATCCAATAAAATCAAACCCCAAAAGGTCTGGAATTTATCTAAACTTAAGTTTTATGTGCCACTGTAATTCAGGTCAGCAAATGGCACTTATGGCTAAAGTGACAAAGTTTCAGTGTTCTAACAGTCTTTTGCATTCATATGGCTTAACAGAAATGCTGGTAGATATTCTCTGATCTAGTGTTACAAAGGAAGGTTTTGAACACAAAGCTGTAAGTGAAATTTCAATACATGAAATCTGAAAATACAATTGAAAGGAGGTGTGGAAGTCGATGTCAATGCTTTTTCTGAAAGCCTCATTTCATTTGGAGGTGGCTGCAAGTTAACTTGTTTGAAAATACTTCTTTCAATGCAGTTCTACTATAATTCAGATTTTAATGTCTTCTGATGTCCAAGAAAGGATTTCCATACAAAAGCCACAAGTACTGTACCTGGAAAGACAAAATACAAAACCAGCATTTCTTTAAATGCATTTTGAGGATGACGTAGTTCTTCACAGTTTTTTCAGCTGCTGCTGAAAATAAGCATTATGTTAATCACAGAATTGTAGGGGTTGGAAGGGACCTCCAGAGATCATCGAGTCCAACCCCCCTGCCAAAGCAGGTTCCCTACAGCAGGTCGCACAGGTCGGCATCCAGGCAGGTCTTGAACATCTCCAGAGAAGGAGACTCCACCACCTCCCTGGGCAGCCTGTTCCAGTGCTCCGTCACCTCACTGTAAAGAAGTTCTTGTGCACATTTGTGCAGAACTTCCTATGCTGCAGTTTCTGGCTGTTTCCCCTTGTCCTGTCTCCACTCACCACTGAAAAGAGTCCGGCCTCGCCATTCTGCCCCCCACACCTTAGATATTTATAGACCTGGATCAGGTCTCCTCTCAGTCTTCTTTTCTCAAGGCTGAACAGACCCTTCACTCAGTCTTTCTCCATAGGAGAGATGCTCCAGGCCCCTCACCATCTTTGTGGCCGTCCACTGGACAAAGTAGTATCTGAGCATCCAACATAAAATAAGGGTTGCTGCAGAATGGAATTCTCAGCTGAAAGTGCTAAAGATAGTCAACAGTTTCTGCAAACACAAACTTGTTTGCAAAGAAAGCTTCAATCAGCCACACCAGCGATCCTGAGGAGCTGATAGAGCAGTGTTTCTTGGGATGATAAACCAAAGATGGAACAGTTTGACCAAGTGAAATCAAAGTGTACACGACCCCTTTCCAGGTCAATAAGGACAGACAAGGATATACAAATATACAAATGCCCCAATCTCAGCAGACAGGTGAAGGCTGAGTCAGTGGGCACTACGTGTGGACACAGGATAAGGTGAGTTGACTGGCTTGCTTTTTAAGGTCACAATGTAGGGTTTATTCTGAAGCTGAAAGCTGGTGAAAGTGAGAACTTCAGTTCTTCATAAGAAAGGCACCTAAGTGCAGAAAAGTAGACTGACTACTTTCTAGCTCTCTTGACAAAATATGTTCTGCTTCAGAAAGGATGGTTCTGAAGGAGAGTATTCCTCACCCACAGCTTCTATTTTATTTTTCTTAGAAATGCTGCCTGGTAACCTCCCACTGAGTGCAGGGTTGTTGTCTAGGCTGCGTTGGGTCAGCGTGGCTTTGTTCAGAAAAACTCCAAGGTTGTTTTAATGTTGCTGCACTCCTCCTGAAGGCTTTTTCAGTGTCCGAATCTCCCAAGCCACAACTGCCTGCCAATACTGAGAAGATTTAATCTGTCATCTTTGTGACTACTCCTCAAACAATTGTTGACAGCTATTAATCAGCTCTTCACTTCATCTTAGTCAGACTAAGTAAGACCAGTTTCCTCAGCATCCCCTTGGTGACCAGCTACTCCAGGCCCTTCGTTGTTTTCCTTGTCTTTCATGGAATCTATTCTGAATTAGGGGATTTCAGCTCAGACATGTTCTACATTTCATAGAATCATAGAATCACCAAGGTTGGAAAAGACCTAAAAGCTCATCCAGTCCAACCGTTCACCCATTCCCAACAGCTCCCACTGAACCACGTCCCTCAACACAACATCCAGTCTTTCCTTGAACACCCCCAGGCTCGGTGACTCCACCACCTCCCTGGGCATCCATTCCAGTGCCTGACCACCCTTTCTGAAAAGTAATACTTCCTCATGTCCAGCCTGAATCTCCCCTGCCGTAGCTTGAAGCCATTCCCTCTGGTCCTATCACTGATGACACGAGAGCAGAGGCCGACCCCCAGCTCACTACAACCTCCCTTCAGGAAGTTATAGAGAGCAATGAGGTCTCCTCTGAGCCTCCTCTTCTCCAGGCTGAACATTCCCAGCTCCTTCAGCCTCTCCTCATCAGTTCCAGACCCCTCACCAGCTTTGTTGCCCTCCTTTGAACATGTTCCAGGGCCTCAATTTGAATAGAAGGAGGTAGCAATATCCCACTTCTCCAAATCGTGTAGTTTGTGTTACCTGCAGATAGAATAAACATTTGTGCCCTTGATAAATCTGTGCTGTATCTTAGTTCCAGCAAAGTCATATTTCAGTTGAGCTTTGACCTTCCTGATTCTGTTCCAAAGTTTGTGTATGCTTCATTTGCTGCCTATCCCTGTTTCTATACCTTATCTGCTCTCCTTTGCTTATGGTGAGACTTCTTGTCAACAGGGAAAGGCTTTTCATCAAAATGTTCAGGCTGTCTGATGGATTTTTCCTGCAAGTCAGAATGTTACTAAGCTCTCAGTAAGCTTTTTGGAAAAAAAAAAAACACCTTTTCATGGAACTTCTTCCTTTGTGGCAGCTTCCCAGGGAATTCTACCTCGCAATTCCCTATCTAAGCACAATTTGGTTCTGAAGTCCAAACTGCTCTGCTGTTTACCTTTCCAGTCTTCTGAACCCTGAACTCTTGCGAGGACTTCAGCCCACACTGCCACATTCACCACCAGCTCTTCTCAATTTGTGAGCAAAAATCACTCACTGACCCATGTGTTTTTGAATTAAAACTTCAAATGAGTTTTCTAGGCACCTCCTGGATTGCACTCACTCAAATGCATGAGTTTTGCTCTCTCAGGTGATGCCTCCATAGCTGAAAACTTCTGGGAGTACAGGAATCAGGGAGGAGACTTCTGCTACTTGTTTGCTGAAAGCCTCCTTTGCTACCTATGCTTGTCCAGATGGTCTACAACAGTCCTCCACCAAGATATCCCAATCTTGCTTGCCCTCCAGTCTAGATCCAGCAGCTCTCAGACAGGCACATCCCTGGTGTTGCACTGAAGTTCTTTTCCTGTGGTCAAGGAACTTGTTAGCACAGAGCACAGTTCCCTCCTTCCTTTCCCTGCCCCATGAATCACACAATTACCAAGGTTGGAAAAGACCTCCAAGATCATTCTGTCCATCTGTCCCCACACCACCAATATTTCCCCACTAAACCATGGCCCTCAGTACAGCATCTGAACATTTCTGGAATACACTGAAACGTGCTCCAGCTGTGCTACCCCACCGAGTCACTGGTGTCCCTGAGTGCTAAAAGTATCACTGCAAATGGACTTGAAATTCTTGTTTTCTCACTTAAATTTCACGTGTAAGTGTCCTGAACCTGCTGGAAGCTCAAATATCCTCTCAGCAGAAAGATGAAAATTTTACCTGTACCTTTGCTTACCTCTTCCATTTACATCTACTCCAGTGTGACTTTCGTGGCATTTATTTTCTAATCTGATGTTGAAGAAATCATTTTCTTTTAAAGAACAGCAGTAATCTTTCGGGTAAAACCAATCCAAATGAGGATCAGTGACCATTTCTCTTACAGTGTTAGAAATCTAGCAGGGCAGAGCCTTATTTCATTGCTCTCATGCCCAATATCTTGCTACCAGCTCTTCCTGCCATCTCCCTGATACTGAAAGAGAAGCATTAACTCAGTCACAACCATCATTAATGCTGCAATCATGCCTGGACAACTGGCATGAACTACACTGGCAGTGAAACAGCAACTGCTTTTGTTCCACCAGAGCTTTTACATTCATGGTACCTATTCAAGTTGTAAATATTTTGCTGACATCTATATTCACTACAACTGTTGGCTGCTTTAATGCTACTGAAGAATCACCTTCACTGAAACTTCAGTGAAAACGCCTTGAAAAATGAGTTCTTAATTCATAACTCTAAGATAATATGCACTGAAGACTCTTATGACACCAGTTGATTTGCTTATCCTACTAGAAAACTTCAATTTCCTGCTCTTCTTGTGAAGGTGATAATCTTCCTCTTGTTCCAAGTTTACTTTCTATGAAAAGTTCAGAACTGGCTTGCTGGTAGCTCTGGGTATCCATCAGACACTGACTGGTCTCTCTGGTCATCACTGCATTTGCTACACTCATAAATGAGATGCTATACTTGGCACAGGCAGTTGGAAGTTCCATGGCACACTACTCTGTGTTTCTGCACGTGCTGATTATTGAGGCACATCACAAAACCCCCCAGCAGTGTCCTAACGGAATTTTCTGAGCAACAAAATAATTCCACCATCTAAGATGCCGATACTGAGAAAAGTGAGACCTCAGATGAGCAGATAATGATGGCTCTGGGGGTGTCTAGGAAGTCTGGGATTATCCACAGACATGTGGACTCTGAAAGCAGTCCTTGCAACTACATATAAAATATTCCTTCTCTCATCATTATCTTCTTGAGCGATTTGTAGTAGAAATCCTTTCAATAAGAATTTTCTTGTCCTAACAGGTACCTTCCTAATCACCTTATCATTTAGCCCAGTTCTGGAAGAATTATTTATATTATTTACTTATTTTCAATAAGTGCCAGTAAAATGTTATTTCAAGTTAGGTGAAATGCCTCACATCTCACATTTCATGCTAGAGTTATAGATTTGCACTCAAGTATTAATTCAGTTTTGAAAAAGATCTATACGCTTCCACCTCAGGCACCTTGACATTCTTGGTTTGTAAAATAAGGCCTATGTACCCATGAATATCCATGTTTTATACCTGATCTGGTGGTTGGTAACCCTGCACGTAGCAGGGGGATTGAAACTAGATGATCATTGTGGTTCTTTTCAACCCAGGCTATTCCATGATTCTATGATATGACTGCTGAGAGACTGCCGTGCTCTTCAGATAATCCACAGGCCTGACAACTGCACCAAACTCTTCTACTGCAGTAGTGACACTTCACAACAAGTGCTTTGTCCCCCATCCTTACAGCTACTTGGTCTGGAGTTCCTTCTCCTGATAAACTGGAGACAGTATCTGACATTTTCTGTATGTGTTCTCTGCGTGTTGCTAATGTTAAGCTGCTCTCGTGCATCTTCTGCCAGGAACCAGGTGGTGCTCACCAGCTTTGCCTAGGACATTCCCTTAGCTGTATTAACTAGAACAGCTGTTGTCAAGCTTATTCTGTTGTGCAGTTATCCTGTTTGGATGTGTAATTTTTAAAAACTTTAAAAAAACCCCGCATTTTAGTTAAGACTTCATTCAAATATTCTTTCTCCATTTTTGAAAGTCACCTCAAAATAACTTTTTTCCCCCTCTCTGTGCATGTTATTTGTTACAACTGAAGCCTTTTGCAATGTTCTCTGTCCATGTTTTACTACTCACCTTGTTTTCAGTACCACAATAGCCCCTTCTAATAGGATCAACAGTCACAAAAGGACTTGGGATTGGCTGAATGCCTCTTTATATACTCTCTAAGCTCAAGATTTGGAGGGAGAAACTGTAAACAATCAACAGCATGAAGCATTTTCATCTGCACCAGATGAATCAGAATGTAAGTTAGCAAAGCTCCAGTGACTCGTGGGTATTCCTTATTCTTGAACTAAGAACAGAGTGTTTCTAACAGTGACTGGGAGAAAGACAAAGTGGGAAATGTAAAGCTTTGACAGGATGGAGATGAAAAAGATTTGACATTTGATGATGATAATTGAGATAGCATATTGCCCTAATATGATTTATCTTTAATTTAATCATCCTCTTGCGTACAAAGTAAGACAAAAACTGAATGCTAAGCAGTTTGTCTGTCTTGAGCTTTTTCAGGCTAAGAATTACTTTCAGGTTGCCTCTTCTCCTTTTTAGTACTCTTTTCAATCACATACTGAGTAACACTTTCTTAAATACATGAAGTATTATGAACTTACCTAAGCATGGGGCTATCCAATATACCAGTGAATAAGTAAGAAATCTGTCATAGAAACAATGTGGATGTAATGAAAAAGCCAACGCTGGGTTAAATATTGCTCCTGTAAGATTTCCACCTGAAACGAAACAGGAACAACATGAAGTCAAACAATCTTTCTTAATGTTCATTCTAAATGAAATACAGAAACACATGTGCACAACACTACAAGAAATGCATACCTTGCAGTGAAATACATTAGCAGAAACCATCTGAGCAGATGAACTCTTCTGCAGTTTTTTACTGTATTTGTTTAACCGATGCAGGAAGTGAAGCATCTTTCCTTCTCTGTCTTCAGATGTAAATGAAGTTGCCTCTGTTTTCTTACTAACTGCCCCACATCTGTATTATCAATCCTACACAGCAGTCACTGTGTCTATGTACATCGTGGTTTCTATTTAGTTTCTTTAACCTTATTCTTGATTGTCCTAGGCCAATTAACCAGTGTGAGCTTTCACACTGCTCCGTGTACAAACACTGTGTTGCTGTAATCCTCATCTGTCAGGAAAGTTTCACTAAGCTCTTTGCTGTTCTCTTTCTCCACGCGCTCCCCAGTGTTTCTCTGGCCTTTATTACAGTACAGAAAGGTTTTAGGATGAAATCTAGAACTGAAAACATCACTTGAACATTTGTCACTTGAAAATGTCAATGCGTGTTACTTCAACCTCAGGACATGAGATGCAGATGCACCTCAGCAATTTCAGACCATTCTGCCTTCATTGTAATACTGCCTGTAAATTAAGAACAGAACTCAAAAAGGGGGGGTTTGTCTTTCAGTCATGAAATATTTTCTCCAAGTAAATACCCAGATATTAGGTTAGATATTAGGAGGAAGTTTTTCCCCCAGAGGGTGGTGAGGCACTGGAACAGGTTGCCCAAGGAGGTTGTGGATGCCCCATCCCTGCAGGCATTCAAGGCCAGGCTGGATGTGGCTCTGGGCAGCCTGGGCTGGTGGCTGGTGACCCTGCACATAGCAGGGGGTTGGAACTGGATGAGCGCTGTGCTCCTTTGCAACCCAGGCCATTCTGTGATTCTATGTCCTTTACCAATCTGTGTGTGGCCTGCATCCTTAGCTTCTGAGTCATTCTTTTATATTCAAAGGCATCATCTTCTCTTTCTCCTATTTAGTAAAAAAAAAACAAACCTTCCTATTTGCAGCATCAGAGGGTTTGTTTTGGTCTGATGTGTACTGTGTTGAAAACTACGTCAGTGCAAGACAAAATGTAAAAAAATAACAAAAAGCAATCCAAATATTTTGAACTGAGAATAGAAATCTAAAGGGAGAGTTGGCAGTTTTCAAAATACTTACTGTAGAATCTGATGTTATTTGTTGGATTAAGTTGCATGATATGCTTAAAGTAACTTACACGTGTACCCAGTGACATACAAACACTTATTTCCACCAATTTAACTCAGTCCCTTGTGAAAAAAAAAAGACATTTTCATGTTCTGAAGCCCTTCATGTTTATCATTTAGATGGGTATAAGCCATAAGAATATGGCTATGCTTTAACACTTCATCCAAATCAAAGCTGACATAGAGGCAGAGATATTCCTTCTTACAGTCCCTTTTCAGACAGCAGTCATCCACACAGCTTTTAGACCCACAGTAGAAGATAAATCATGCATGGAAATGTGATACAATACGCATGAGATGCATTTTGTAACATTTCTTATTCATGCCTGACTGCAGTGTACACGTCCTCAGGGCACAATCAGTATAAAAAGAAACCATGAGCATGGAGGTTTTTTTCCCCTAAGTTTAATTCACCTTTCAGAGGTCCCAACTAAACCACTGCATCTTTCCAACAGAAGTTATGAGGAGAGGCTGAAGGAGCTGGGAATGTTCAGCCTGGAGAAGAGGAGGCTCAGGGGAGACCTCATTGCTCTCTATAACTTCCTGAAGGGAGGTTGTAGTGAGCTGGGGGTCGGCCTCTTCTCTCGTGTCATCAGTGATAGGAGCAGAGGGAATGGTTTCAAGCTACGGCAGGGGAGATTCAGGCTGGACACGAGGAAGTATTACTTTTCAGAAAGGGTGGTCAGGCACTGGAATGGATGCCCAGGGAGGTGGTGGAGTCACCAAGCCTGGGGGTGTTCAAGGAAAGACTGGATGTTGTGTTGAGGGACATGGTTTAGTAGGAGCTATTGGGAATAGGTGAACGGTTGGACTGGGTGATCTTTTAGGTCTTTTCCAACCTTGGTGATTCTATGATTCTATGATTCTAAGTCTTGGTGGATCATCATTCATACAATATTCTAAATTAACTGATGCTTTTTGTAGGGAAAATGATGTTGGAACCAGGTTGCCTAAATCAGCGCTGGCTGCCTAACCTTTTGGTGCTGAGTGAGCAAGAAAGAGCCATTTCTCTTAAAGAAGTACTCCACTTCTTTATGCACAGTTAATGGAGAGGCACAGATTTCCTAACAATCCAGCCCAGCTAAGAATTTGTCCTTCAAAGCATGGGTACCAGAGGCTGGCCTGCTGCAGGCCTCGTTTTCTAGGTGCTCATTCATTCAAAGCACTGCTCCTCCAACTGGGGAAAGGAAATATTTCCTTAGCAGAGCTGGGGAATCAATCTGGGGTGAACACAATCATCCTGTGGAGTCAGCAGCTGTCGATGCAAAGCATGAAGCCCCATATTTGGCACAGAAATACATAGAAATGGTGTGCTATTTCTAACCTGGAAAAGGGAAAAAGCAGCACCTGCAAGCTGTAATGAAGCACAGCATACTTAGCACATCATGCAGGAGAGAGGAGGTGGACAGATGGTGGCTGGGGCCACGCAGAGCTGCACACTGACACTGAATGCACCACGCAGGTTGTGGATGTCTCCCAGGTGCTATCGCTGCTGCTTGGTGTGCCATCAGCAGCCTTCTGAAGTGCAGGACAGCAGGTGCCCAGGGGAATCTATGTGTGTATGTGAGCAGAGGGAAAGGGGCTGGAGGAACGGTCTGAGAACCTGTCAGGAGCCCTGTGTGTACCTGGCCAACCTTCCACTGAAAAGGTCTGCTACAGTGCAAGCTTCTCACTTCATCATAGAAATACACACGAGCGGGCTCCCACGCTGCCTGCAATACCTCAGCAGTAGGAACACTGGGGTTTAAGCCCTCCATTGCTTCAAGAGGCTTCAACTCACAGTTTGGGAGAGCACAGCAGGGGGAGGATGCCACCTATCAGTTCCCCTTTGAACCTGAGTGCATGGCAAAGAACACAAACCCTGGGAAGCCTGGAGCAGTGAACAAGAACTGTTTTCTTTACAGCAGCCTTCATAGATTTTAAAATAGTGGGAAGGAAAACATCCAGGGCACAGCAGATCTGGTATTTCCTAGAAATCAATCTCTGCAGATGGACTGCACTGGATAATCAGCCTTCTGCAAGAAACAAGAGAGGAAGCCAGCCTGTCCCACAACACTGGGCATGAAGACTTTGTATGAGCTAGCTAAGAGAAAGCTGTGTGGCACGTATTATTTTACAAGAATATTTGCTCAGCAGCAAAGGAATGTTAAGAATCAGGAATCCAGCTTTCTGTGCCTGGAGAAGAGGTAGCAAAACCCTTGGCTCCACTTTCACCTACCATTTCAGGACTGTTCTTAGTGTGATAACACGCAGTTACACTTTGCTTCTACATTCAAATACTAAGTTTAGAAAGTAGTTCAAGTTGCTAATTAATGAAATTCTCCACAGGGTTTTAATCTTTCAGATATTACCTCACTTGAGCTAAGCATAATGAGCAAGGCTTCCTTTTTTTTTTTTTTCCCCCCTCATGATTACATCTGAAAATTTGAGTGTGCTTTTTATCTTATTGTATTGGTTCAACCTTTGGGCAAAGAAGTCAGCAACACTGCAGACATCTGTAGGTAAGGCAGTGATCTCCTCTCGTAGATGGCTCACTTTCTAGGTGACTTGGGGGTCCTGCTGGATGGACACGAGCCAGCAGTGCGTGCCTGCAGCCTAAAAGCCATCAGTTCCCTGGGCTGCATCAACAGAGGGCCATGAAGATGCTCAAAGGGCTGGAGCACCTGTCCTATGAAGAAAGACTGAAAGAGCAGAGGGGGTTCAGCCTGCAGAAGAAAAGGCAAGAGAGACTTTATTGCAGCCCGCCAATGCTAGAAGGGAGCCTATTAGCAGGAGGTGGACTCATTTTTTACATGGTCTGATAGTGACAGGACAAAGGGGGAATGGCTTTAAGCTAAAAGTGGAGAAATTAGGTTAGATTTAAGGTGGGAATTCTTTACTCAGAGGGCAGTGAGGCCCTGGCACTGCTGCCCAGAGAGCTGTGGGTGCCCCATCTCTGGAGGTGCCAAAGGCCAGGCTGGATGGGTCCTGGGCAGTCTGAACTTCTGGGGGCAAGCAGCCCATGGCAAGAGGTGAAACTGTGTGGGCTTTGAAGTCTCCTCCAACCCAACGATTCTGTGATTCTATGACTTCCTCTGTGGAGGCTGTAGCCAAAGATGGCATGAGGAACTCCATAACCACCTCTGTCTCATCCCCCCATGCCCCAAAGCACAGCATCTCCTTCCCTGAATCTCCCTGTAATGCAGTCCCAAGTGACCAGTGACACAATTCTGACACCTCACTGGGGAGAACACAAAGAATCCCACTGACTTCACAGGAGTTCCTTGCCCTGATCTGCAGTGCAAGGGACAATCCCAGCTCTGGGAGGTGACGCAGAGGCAAAAGTAAGGACAGGGACACAGAGAGCATTGCAAGGACATGAGATTTGTAGGTGCTGTGATACTACAGGCAACAAACTTTTTTTTTTTTTTTGCAACTTTGAATTGTGCACACATTCTACAAATAACCATTCCTGCTTCTAATATTTTTTAACAGTTAACCACTGCACTGATATGAATTATGCATTATTTTAATGCAGAACCTCTCTTCTGCAGGCCTGCACGCTCAGCATCTTTCCCTGATCCAGACTGCTGCTGTCCTGCAATGCCTCTTCAAAATCTGAGCAGTGTGGTACACATGGAATCCTCAGACTGTATAATGTCAAGTTATGAAACAAACCTTCACTGAAATATTTTAAGAAGGGTTAAGAGCTTCACAGAGCACTTGCAGATTACATGTTTTGCACGCACAACTCATTTCATCCTTAACACACACCACAGGAGCTAACCAAACTTTAAATATAAACTCCAAATGAATTCAGAATTTCTAGGACCATTTCATAGAATCACAGTTTGAGCTGGAAGAGATCAGTAAAGGTTATCTAGTCCAACTCCCCTGCAGTGGTCAGGAGGGACAAGTACAGCTCAAAGCCCTTTCCAGCCTGACCTTGAATGTCTCCAAGAAGGGGGCATAAGCCACCTCTCTGGGTAACCTGTGCCAGTGCTTCACAACTCCTATCATAACAAAACCTTTTCCTCATATCCAATCTAAATATCCCCTCTTTTAGTTTGAAGTCATTTCCCTTTGCCTTATCACCACAGACCTGCTCTGTCCCCTTCTTTCTTACAACCCCCCCTTCATATCAGGTCACCTCCCAGCCTCCTCTTCTCCTGGCTGCACAGCCCCAGCTCTCTTAGCCTGTCCTCATCATTTTCGTGGCCCTTCTCTGGATGCTCTCCAACAGCTCCATGTGTCTCCTGTACTGAGGACTCCACATTTGGATGCAGTATTCCACGTGGGGCCACATCAGTGCAGAGTACAGGGGCAGGATCACCCCCTCACCCTCTGGCCACAATGCTTTGGATACTGGCTGGCTTTCTGGGCTGTGAGGACACAGTACTGGCTCATGTCCAGTTGCCACCCACCAGCACCCCTAAGTCCATTTCCATGATGTTTCTTTTTTCCTAATTGAAGAAAACAAATTTCACGTCTTGCTTTCCTGCTTTAATAGGAGAGTTGGACTAAATGATCTTCAACCCCTTTGATCCTGTGATATTTAAATTTCCTGACTGCAATAACAGTGAAAAAAGGACTAACCTGCAAACACCAGCATGGTGATGAGGAGAGCAACCGCGTGGACTCTGTAGCTGGGCTTAATGTTTTCCACTTGCAGGATGGTCAGCTGGAAAACGACAGAGAACAGCAGCTCTATGCAGAACGCCTGCACCTCTGTCGTCTGCATGGGGTTGCCACAACCCTGAGTGAGCACTCCCGAATGGGATTCCGCCATCTCCAGCCTCCAGATTAAGTGCATAAAGACCCTGGCCAACACAGCAGCGACGAACTGCGCTCCGATCTTCAGTCCCTTCGCCCTGACTGAGGTCCGTCCGCCCCACAGGGGCTGCAGGGTGCCACAAGGGTTGCACGTGCTGCCGGGCAGCGTCAAGCCGTGCAGGACGGTGAAGCCGTAGGTGAGGGTGAGGGCGGTGTGAGGCCTGGGCTCCGTGTTACCCAGCAGGCTGAGCTCGTTGGTGCAGGCGCACACCTGGAAGGTGCTCAGCAGCTCCAGGAGCAATGAGCAAAGATCTGGGTGTTTGTACAGGCGGCGAAGAGCCAAACTCCGGCACAGCCCCACGGCCGCCACGATGGCCACCATCAGCCCCAGCGACGTCCAGATGCCGCCCGCAGCCATGGCCACAGTCCCACTCGCTGAGTGACTGGAAAAAGGAGTTCGCTGCGCTCCAGCCTTACTGCCTGCAGGGAGAAAGGAAGAAAGAGGGAGGGAAAATAGCAACACTTGGCCTTACAAGGTAGGAGGCGGCTTCTTTCCCCACCTGCTTGCAGCTGCGAGGTCTCTGCCCTCAGCTCGGCTCAGCCTGAGGCGGGAGCGGGCACGGGGATCCCCGTCCCACAGCGGCGTGGGAAGGAGGACCGCTCTCCCCTCAGGAACGTCTCTCCCTTCAGTCTGCGGGGGAAGAGGGGTGCCCTCTCTGAGGCGAGGACAGCCTCACAAGAGAAAGCCCCCCCGCGAGAAAAGAAGCCACAAGCCAATTCCTCTCGCAGCCGTATATAAATCAGAGAATAACCGCGCAGCAGGGCTGGAAACACCCCACTCCGCGCTCACCGCCGCCCGCCCTCCTCTCAGCGGGGCGGCCGCGGCCCCCGGCGGTTTTGCGCATGCGCAAAGTCAGCTCCGGTGCTTGTGGTGGGGGGGGCGCGCGCAGGGTGCTTTCCCGCCCTTTGGCGCAGCGGTGAGAACGGTGGCAGCGCTGGGGCTTTACGCCTCTGCGCCCGCCTCTCCCTCTTGCACAACTTCGGGCGTTGCTCTGCCGGGAGCGTGTAATAGTGGAATAAAGCAGCGAGTTGGCGTCCACGGGGTGAAGGAGGGGGGGGGGTTGTGTGAGGGGAAGCTGACAGGGTGTTGAGGACCGAGCCCAAGAGAAGGCTTTGAGAAGTGTTTCCCTGAGGGCAGCGAGGTGCAGGTGTGGTTGGACCCGCCGCCTCCGTGCTGCCTGTGGGGGAAGACGGTCCTGACAGGGTGCCGGGAGGAGGCCAGGGGCAATCCTCCATGGAAATAACGCTAAAAATAGCTGTTGTCCTCATGCTCCAGATCTTTTTATCAGGGAGGCCCCGAAGGATCTCAGGTGGCCTGGAGAAGTTGAGATTTCCTCCTTTAGGCTGTGTGCCTGCGTCTTGTGGCTGAGAAGAATCATGGAATCATAGTGTGTCCCAGGCATGCATCCCAGGGTGCTGAACGAGCTGGCCGAGGTGGTTGCCGAGCTGCTCTCCGCCATATTTGAACAGTCATGGCTGTCAGGTGAGGTCCCGGAGGTCCCAGTCGGAGGAAGGGTCACATCACTCCCACTTACAAGAAAGGGAGCAAGGAGGACCCTGGGAACTACAGGCCGCTGAATCTCACCTCTGTGCCTGGGAGGATCATGGAACAGATCATCCTGGATGACATGCTTGACCACATGAGGGATGGGCGTGTCATCTGTGACAGCACGGCTTCATCAGAGGAAGGTCATGCTTGACCAATCTGGTGGCCTTCTATGATGGAGTGACGGCACTGGTGGATGAGGAAAAGGTGACCGATGTCATTTACCTGGACTTGAGCAAGGTCTTTGACATGGTCCTCCACCACATCCTCATCTCCAAACTGGAGGGATGTGGATTTGATGGGTGGACCACTCAATGAATAAGAAACTGGTTGAAAGGCCGCAGACAGAGGGTAGTCATCAATGGCTCCATGTCCAGGTGGAGGCCAGTAACGAGCGGCGTCCCCCAGGGCTCTGTCTTGGGACCGGTGCTCCTCAACATCTTTATCAATGACATCGATGTAGGAATCGAGTGCACCCTCAGCAAGTTTGCTGATGACACCAAGCTGAGCAGTGCGGTCAACACGGTTGAAGGAAGGGATGCCATTCAGAGGGACCTCGAGAGGCTAGAAAGGTGGGACCGGGTGAACCTAATGAGGTTCAACACGGCAAAGTGCAAAGTTTTGCACTTGGGCCGGAGGAATCCCAGGCATCCATACAGGCTGGAAGGAGCGGTCCTTGAAAGCAGCCCTGTGGAGAAGGACCTGGGGGTCCTGATAGATGAAAAACTTAATATAGCCAGCAGTGAGCTCTTGCAGCTCAGAGGGCAAATGGGATCCTGGGCTCCATCAGGAGAGGTCAGCAGGGACAGGGAGGTGATTGTCCCCCTCTACTCTGCTCTTGTGAGGCCCCATCTGGAATACTGCGTCCAAGTGTGGAGCCCGCAGTACAAAAAAGACAGGGAGCTGTTGGAGAGGGTCCAGAGGAGGGCCACTAGGATGATCAGGGGACTGGAGCACCTCCCCTATGAGAACAGGCTGAGGGATCTGGGCTTGTTCAGCCTGGAGGAAAGAAGGCTGTGGGTGAGCTCATTACAGCCTTTCAGTACTTAAAGGGAGCCTACGGAGGGGAGGGGAATCAACTCTTTGAAAGGGTTGATACATGTAGGACGAGGGGAAATGGTTTTAAGTTGAGGGAGGGGAGATTTAGGTTGGACATCAGGGGGAAGTTCTTTACTCAGAGAGTGGTGAGGTACTGGAACAGGCTGGCCAGAGAGGTTCTGGATGCCCCGTCCTTGGAGGTGTTCAAGGCCAGGTTGGATGGGTCCCTGGGCAGCCTGGTTTAGCATTTAACGTGGAGGTTGGTGGCCCTGCATGTGGCAGGGGGGTTGGAGATTCATGACCCTTGAGGTCCTTTCCAACCCTGGCCATTCTGTGATTCTGTGATTCTGTTGGGAGGTACCCATAGGGATCATCAAGGCCAGCTCCTGCTCTATGCGGGGTGTGTAGGCTGAGCTTCTGTGAATTACTCATTTACTTTGTTTCCGCTTCAGATTTAGTCCTTACATCCTTACAAGAGAAGAAAATAATCCCAGAAGTTTCTTTTTTTGGGCTCTTGTACCTAGAAGAAGTATTCTTAAGGTTTTAGTGTGATCTCCTGGAAGCCAAAGGGACTCAAATGCCCAAATGTCAGACGCTGTTTGCTTTTAATGACAAGGACCTTTTTGCAGTGTGGAAAGAGTAGAAGTGCTTTAAATGGACCTCAAGTTTGCAGATGACCCCAAGCTGTGTGGTGCAGTTGACGTGTATGGGGGATGGGATGACATACAGGGAGAGCAGTGGGATCAGGAGAACCTTGTGAGGTTTAACAAAGCCAAGTATAAGGTCTGTATCTAGGTCAAGGCAACCCCTAGTATCAGTACAAGCTGGGGGATGTAAGGATGGAGCACAGCTCTGCTGGAAATGACCTGGGAGTGCTGGTGGATGGCAGCTCCTATGAGGACAGGCTGAGAGAGCTGGGGCTGTGCAACCTGGAAAGAGAAGGCTGCGGGATGACCTGATAGCAGCCTTTCAGTATATGAAGGGCGGCTGTAAGAAAGAAGGAAGACTCTTTAACAGGATCTGTTGTGATAGGACAAGGGGAAATGGTTTCAAATTAAAAGAGGGGAGATTTAGATTGGATATAAGGGAAAGGGTTTTTTACAATAAGATTGATGAGGTACTGGAACTGTTTGCTCAGAAAGTGGTGTATGCCCCCTCCCTGGAGGTATTCATAGTCAGACAGGACCGGGCTCTGAGCACCCTGATCTAACTGTAGATGTCGCTGTTCATCCGCAGGGGAGTTGGACCAGATGATCTTTGAGGCTTCCTTCCGACTCAAACGATGACCTCCAAAGAGAGCTGGGTGTGGAGTATTTTCATGATTCAGTATTCTTACCACAAGGCGACACCAAAGATGGACTCTCACCACACCTCACAGGAATCACTTTTGACCGAGATCTGCGCAATGTAATTATTGCAGGAAAGCAGAACACAGACACGTGGCTTCCAAGCAGCTAAAGCAAACCCTTACTTTTAGGTGAAGGTCAGTCTGCCATAAAAGCCAATGTTGCAAAATACAGAATCGTTTCTCGTGTAGGGTATCCCATGACAAACTCTTGTCTTCTGAAATGGAGGATTGTTGAGACATCTCACCTTAAGAGGTTTGGATAGAAAAGTATTTGGATCACCTTCCAAGGTAATCATTTGGCTTTGAGAAATGGGGATGTTTTAAACCACAGGGGTAAAAATCTCCACAACAGTTGAGCAGTGATAATGTAAAGAAGGGAAAGGGATAAGTGGCGGAGTGGTTAATGTTTGGCTTTTATTGTTTCTACAAGATCAGACGTCAACAAATGTGAGGCAAGGCTGGAGACATAACAACTGTGATAAGTCTTTGAGAAGTCCTGAAGCACTTTTGTGAAAAAGCAATTGCTTTTTGCAGTGGTGGCTTTCTGTGCTCTACAATGGTAGTAGAGGGGAAAAAAACAGTGATATCCAAGATTTTGGAAGAAATGAAGCAATGCTATATTCGAATAGAGGGTCAGTATAATAAAGTGATTGTTTTGTAAGTGGCAGCTGCAGCTTTAGGAGACAGGGACTCACTTCTAAAAGGCAATAATGGAAGGAGTTAATTCTCAAGGCTTAAAAAGCGACTGGGCTACAAATACTGAGCAATATCAGCATCTGAAAATCATGTACTTTCACAGCCTGTATCAAAACATCCCCCTGCAGCTTTGAAATGCCTCTTTCCTTATGCTTCAGACACGCTTCTGTGAGAAGTTCTGTGCAGGATTAGTGACACTTGGGTTTCTATAGCTTCATGTGCAACAGCAGTAGTCACTGTGTTCATTCCAGCTTCCTTACCGAGAGAGTGGTGAGGTGCTGGAACAGCTGCCCAGAGAGGCTGTGGATGCCCCATCCCTGGAGGTGTTCAAGGCCAGTTTGGATGGGGCCCTGGGCAGCCTGGTCTGGTATTAAATGTGGAGGTTGGTGGCCCTGCATGTGGCAGCGGGGTTGGAGCTTCGTGATCCTTGAGGTCCCTTCCAACCCTGGCCATTCTGTGATTCTTTGATTCTGTGATGTCACTGCTGCAATGAGCTGTGTTGTCTGTTGTCACTTTCCTACACCCTCTCACTTCTGTAATCTGTGGTGCTGTTCCCCCAGTACTTACAGATCCTTATGTATCTACAGCCTGCTTTCAAACAAGCCTTAGGGGTCTGTTGGACTCCACCCTCCTGAACACTGCGTTTTCTTTGGCCACCAGATGGTAGTGTCATTCCAAACAACTGCTTTTGGTGTCCTGTGGCAATTTTCTTTTGTGCTCTTGACACTTATAGGTGAGAATCTGGACCTTCTAGGTACAGGTGCAAGCCTTTCAGTTTATAATCTGCAAAAATGCATGTTCACGCCTGGAATATCTTTTAAAGATCATTTAATAACTTCTCTCATAATTTCTGTAAACTGAATGAGTTGAACTCATTACCTGGGGTAGGGAACCTGCTTTGACAGGGGAGTTGGACTCAATGATTTTGGGAGGTCCCTTCCAACCCCTACGATTCTGTGGTTCTGTGATTCTGTGGTTCTGTGATTCTGTGGTTCTGTGATTCCGTGGTTCTGTGATTCTGTGATTGTTTTCTTCTTTCCTGTAGCACTGCTGGCTTCATATCTTATTCCAGATCTTCCTTGTGCCTTCTCTCTCCTCTCCTCCATGTCCCAGATTCTCCTCATGCTCCTGCCTGCTCTGTACAGGGATGTACGTATTTTCTATTCTCTCCAGTACTCAGTTTTCTTTTCTTTCCA